GGTTTCCTTAGTTTAATATCAAACAACAGGGTTTATTTACATCAATACAAAACACCAGGGTTTCTTTACGTTAATATAAAACATCAGGGTTTCTGTACATTAATATAAAACAACAGGGTTTATTTACATCAATACAAGACACCAGGGTTTCCATAGTTTAATATCAAACAGCAGGGTTTCCTCAGTTTAATATCAAACAACAGGGTTTATTTACATCAATACAAAACACCAGGGTTTCTTTACGTTAATATAAAACAACGGGGTTTCCATAGTTTAATATAAAACATCAGGGTTTCTGTACGTTAATATAAAACAACGGGGTTTCCATAGTTTAATATCAAACAGCAGGGTTTCCTTACGTTAATATAAAACAACAGGGTTTCCATAGTTTAATATAAAACATCAGTGTTTCTGTACGTTAATATAAAACAGCGGGGTTTCCATTGTTTAATATAAAACAGTAGAGTTTCCTTACGTTAATATAAAACAGCATTTGTTTTCGTGACAAACCTTCAACTATTAACCCACAGCTATTTTACAAGTTAAACTAACATGTTACTTTTCTCTCTATTAATTGTAATAGTCTGTAGATAGCTAAAGTACCGCTGTTGAAAACTTGCTGTGTAAATAAACCGTTGTCACTTAGCAACCCATGTTACAAGTCTCAAACATATTTAACACCTGCAGTAAATAAAATCACCTAAATTATTTCATAAATGCAAAATTCAGGGCTATTGTTATGTTTTAAGTTAATTTTATTGTGTGAAACTTAATCCCCCCACACAGTGATATAGAAAAGTTATACCTTAATGCTAACAACTACCAAATATCATTCTCCTCAATGTGTGAAACTTAATCCCCCCACACAGTGATATAGTAAAGTTATACCTTAATGCTAACAACTACCAAATATCATTCTCCTCAATGTGTAAAACTTACCCCCCCACACACACACAGTGATATAGTAAAGTTATACCTTAATGCTAACAACTACCAAATATCATTCTCCTCAATGTGTGAAACTTAGTCCCCGTAATTTACTAAACTATGCAGTAAAACACACACACAGTGAATCGTTTTATTAAAACTAATTTTATAAGTATATGTATTTCCACCGGGTCTCCGAAAGTGTTCTGTTTCAAGAGTAAATAAAACCAAAATTAAGAGTAACAAATATTTTTATTTATTACTTTTGAAGTTCATATGTCATGCTGTATTGTGGCCTACAGAGTGAGTAATTCTTCTCGTGATTCATGGCATGCACTTGTTTTACTGACGTCACGACAGTAGGAATTGCATCGTTAAGTCTCCCTTATGTGACGTCATTTTAGTGTCTACTGAATGACTGACAGATAACGAACTAATGTATAGTGGTGAGAATGATTAAAACAGGTGATTCTCCCAGGTGGCCTTTGGCCCCCTTTCGGGTAAATTAATTTTCTCTTTCAACAAACAAGAAGATAATTTCCATCTTGAGTGTCCGTCTGTTAAGTCTAGAAAAAAAATCACTATACATGTCTGTTTTCTAGTGTTTCATAATAGTGTCATCTATGTTACTTTTCTAACTCTACTCATAGTCAACCTTAAATACCTTCTTTATGCCCTTCATTTCAATATAATTTCAGCCCACTATTTGATCCTATTAACAATGTTACTGCTTGTATCCAGTCTAAGGTTTATTAAAAAATGTCATCTATACCTGCTTTCTGGCTCTAGTAACAATAACATTGTTTATGTACAATCTAAGGTTTATTAAACAATACAATCTACGTTTTCCTTTCTTGCTCTAGTAACTGTAACACTGTTTATGTACAATCTAAGGTTTATTAAACAATGACATCTACGTTTTGCTTTCTGGCTCTAGTAACAATAACACTGTTTATGTACAATCTAAGGTTTATTAACCAAAGACATCTACGTTTTGCTTTCTGGCTCTAGTAACAATAACACTGTTTATGTACAATCTAAGGTTTATTAAACAATACAATCTATGTTTTGCTTTCTGGCTCTAGTAACTGTAACACTGTTTATGTACAATCTTAGGTTTATTAAACAATGCCATCTATGTTTTGCTTTCTATCGCTAGTAACTGTAACACTGTTTATGTACAATCTTAGGTTTATTAAACAATGCCATCTATGTTTTGCTTTCTATCGCTAGTAACTGTAACACTGTTTATGTCCGATCTAAGGTTTATTAAACAATGCCATATATGCTTTGCTTTCTAGCTTTAGTAACAATAACATTGTTTGTGCCCAATTTTAGGTTTATTGAACAATGCCATCTATGTTTTGTTTTCCGGCTCTATTAACAATAACTGTTTATGTACAATTTAAGGTTTATTAAACAATGGCATCTATGTTTTGCTTTCTGGCTCTATTAACAATAACTGTTTATGTACAATTTAAGGTTTATTAAACAATGGCATCTATGTTTTGCTTTCTGGTTCTAGTAACAATAAATAACACTTTTTATGTCCAATCTAAGCTTTATTAAGCAATGTCATCTTTGTCCACTTACTCGTGATAATGACAATCTTATCTAATAAACATGCCTGACGTTTGTAGGAACGAAAAATATCAACTAGAACAAAGCTAACATAAAAAACAATTTATACAATTGAAAATGTAATATGGCGTTATTATATACACTACTTTGATCCGAAGAAAGAAAATGTCCCCTTTTTAATTCTTAATATATATTTTTTTTAAATAAATAATCTCAGAATAATGTTTTATTATATTCTTCCTCACTTACTAATAGACGAAAACAGTCGCTGTTAAAGATGACTATATTTAATCTATTCTATTGTATGTCCGTCCGTTAGTGATACATTCCAATTTAACGTAAAACATGCGCAGTAGGAAAAAAAAACGATATAACGATAGCAACGTTCGGTTATTACTCAAACAAGTAAATACGCTGAAGGTTTTCCCGCTTTGAATTTTTTTTTTCAAAGATAAATAATGGTCGGAATCCATGCATATATGCGTTCTTTTTTTCCTTTTCTTCTCCGTTTGTCATAATACTATCATATTGTTGGTATTGTTCAAAGAAAACTTTGCCGTAAATCCCCAGAAGCATTATTTGATCATTTGCTCAACAGAGTAAATAAAATGGAGCGTTTTCGATATTGTCAATTTCTTAACGAATAATAACCTAGCGAGTGCAGCCTGTCCCTTCCTATATATATGTAAATTACACTCAATACTGCCTTCCAGAACACGAGTAGCTTATTATAGTTCGCTGGAAGATTGTGAAAGTCTCTGTAATTTTCAAATAAAAATAATCCCTGTCCACATATATTAGGATATCAGGTTTCATACATGGTTCGTTATTCGTCTTGCCTTTACTGTTGCCTGGAGACATCGAGGACACAAAACGCTATGTCTTGTTGTTTAGTACCAAATCTGATTGGAAAGTTAAAGCGCCACGTATATGCTGATATTTAAGATGATATCGTACTGTGTAATTCAAGAAATCTCTGCATTTTTGGCAGAGGTTCGGGTTATTGGATATATTATATAATTATTTCCATTGATATCAATATTATCCGTGGAGCGGAGAGTTATAACATTAAATACTGACGAACTTCACAAGATCTAATGTCCACTACATATTTCTAATATTTTTCTTTTTTTAAAACATTCCGTTACTTGGTTCAGAGATCAACACGCGGGACACCGGATTCACGTGTATCTTGACACTACTGAACACACGGGACACCGGATTCACGTGTATCTTGACACTACTGAACACGGG